GATAACAAGGTGTAGAGCTGGATGAACACAGCAGGCCAAGCAGCATCCGAGGAGCAGGAAAGCTGACGTTTCGGGTAGGGACCCTTCTTCAGAAGAGTTCCGACCCGAAATGTCAGCTTTCCTGCTCCTCTGATGCTGCTTGGCCTGCTGTGTTCATCCAGCTCTGCACCTTGTTATCTCAGATTCTCCAGCATCGGCAGTTCCCACTTTCTGTCTCTCACTTCATTGACATCCCCTTCTTTCAAAAACTGCTAAGACTTTATCTCCCACGTATACACAAAAAGTTATTTGAATTGGAGGCAAAATCGGAACCCCACCCCACATACCAATCATGGGTTTAGCATCAGCACTACATCATTGATTACTGGCATTGAGTTCTTTTTAATTCATTAACTGGATGAGGGCGTCACTGGCTAAGCAGCATTTATTGCCCATCCCTAATTGTCCAGAGTCAACCATATTGCTGTAGGTCTGGAGTCACACGTAGGCCATACCAGGTAAGGATGGCAGTTTGCTTCCCTAAAGGACATTAGTGAAGCAGGTGGGTTTTTCCAACAATCAGCAATGGATTCATGGTCATCATTAGATTCTTAATTTCAGATATTTTATTGAATTCAAATTCCACCATCTGCAGTGGGGGATTTGAACCCACGTCGCCAGAATGTTATCCAAGTCTCGAGATTAACAGTCCAGCGTTAACACCACTAGGCCATTGCCTCAGAGGATGGGTGCAGACTTGAAGGGCTGAATGGCCTCTATGTGCACTGTAAGGATTCAGGATTGTCTCAGCCTGAAGGGTCTTGACAGAGCAGATGTGAAGATGATCAGACGATCACTCCTCTTACGGGAGATCTAGAACTAGGGATCACCATCTAAAAATAACGTGTGCCCATTTGAAAGAGATGATGCAATTCCCACCACCACCCACCCTCCATCACACACACACATATCGCAACCCACCCCCACACACCCCAACCCAACCCCACCCACACAGAATCCTGATTCTTTTGAACCCTCTTTCTTAAAATCTGGTCGAAGCAGAGTCTTTGAATATCTTTAAAACAATAAAGGAAAAAAGAGAATGGAAGCTTATCAAAAGTAGGTGGGATTGTGGACTTGAGGGTACATTAGATCAACCATGATCTTATTCAATGCCGGAACAGGTTCGAGAAGCTGAATAACATACTTCTGCTCCTTGTTCATATGTGCGTAAACTGGTATACTTAAAACACAAACTCAATCTTCTAATCATGATTGGCTTACCGGTGTAAAATCAATAGGAAAATAGCATGAAGTGATCTCAAAGAGCTCTTCCACAAAGTTCCCTTTAAACAAAGACAGAAGTCAATAGCTAAACAGAAGACAAAATAAATTGAATAGTATCTAAATAGAACAGATTCTTTTATACCTTACTTGAACTTAATATAAACCAAGCAGTTTCTGTTTATTAAACCAAGGTGTTTTTTGTGGTAAGGATTAAAAATACATACAGAAAGTTTCCAACTTTCACTCTTTTCCAATGCTGAGTGTGCCAGCTTATGGTGGGGTCCTGTTCCTCTGTAGCTAATCAAGACGTAAGCCTTGAATCAGTGGCTTGCACTTTCTCTAGAGTCAACATGCTGTTGGTTTAAGCTCCACTTTAGGGGCATGAGCAAATTTTCTCAACAAACACTGACATAATACAGGCGTATTGATGTCCCATCAACGCTCATACGTGGGTCATAAAAATCCCAAGGAACCATTCCAAGAATAGAAAGGGAATTCCTGAATATCCTGGAACATATATCCATGAACTAACATCAATGAGATGGATTATCATTATCACATCACTTCTTGTACTATAGAAGCTGAGGCAGTCAAATTGCACAATTGTGATTACAATTCAAAAGTACTTAGTGACTGACAGATGTCCTAAATGCAAACAGCAAAATAAATGCCTGCTTTCCCTTATTGTGTTTAACCAAAATAGTCATTTCCCTTAGTAAGCATAAAAGGTAAAATTTCCACAGTACCAGAGGACCATAAGCTGCCCTCTCAAAAAGACGACAAACATGAAGATCTTTAGCAAGTGTAGACGATAAATGTCAGCAGGCTGTTGAATCACAGGGTAATATTTTGAAAAGTCTGATTATGTTTTCACGTCAAGAACACACAAGCAGATTTCCAGATAATATTTGTTTTTTTTTGGGGTTGCGGTTTACCAATTCAGGATGTTTGGTTGGGGGTGGGAGTGGTGGGGGGGGCGGGGGGGGGGGGTCAGATACAGAGAGAGAAAGACACATGCATATATTAAGAACTTAATAACTGTAGTGTTGTGGGTGTAGAAGAGAGAGGTAAGACATGGAGCTATATCTGTGTGACAGCCAAACAAAAATAAAATCCAAGATCCCACACAGCACCTTTGCTGGGTTGCTGGAAACTGAACCAACTCATAGGCTAAAAATAAACTAATGCGGCTCTGACAGGATGTCAGCAAGCTTGCAGCGAGACAGAATGCTGGGTGTATAATAGGTTTGTAGTACACCCAACTAAGAAATGAAAGATAGAAACAACGTTATTTTATTGCTATTACACAGTGTTGTTAGCAGGGTGACAAATCTCAGGCGATTTAATTAAGTGTCACACGTGAAACACATTTAGGTGTAATTTGACCAATAGGTTATTTTCCTACTTCTATCTCATGACTATAAAATTGCAGACTCTTGCAGAAAATACATACCAAGTTCATAATTGTTGACGACGATGTCCCTGGAGATCTGAAAAGCCATTAATAAATTCCTTGGGTCCTTTTCTCCATCCATTGCTTGAATAAAACCAAATGTGAAGTCCGCTTCCAAAGTCTTCAGCTCTAAGCACAGAAGAATGAAAAACAAGCTTACTGAGTGCTGTACTCCACAATGACCACAGCAATATGGTTGACTCTTGACCTCTCGCTGGGCATTTTAGTTTAGGCAATAAATGCTGGCCTTGTCAGTGATAGCTCATGAATGAATATAAAAAAAAACTTTGCTCATTATCTCAATCAGAGGAGACAACAGGCAGGACCGGGGGGGATGAAAAGAAAATGTCTCATTGATTTTGTATACAGTAATCAAGATTATGGCTGAGGAATATTGGGAGGACAGTTCAGAGGAAGCACCTCTTTATTTATCTCCTGTCACAAAATCAGATGATCCAAACATTATTACTAATTGTGAGGGCCTGCTGTATGCAAATTGCATCTTCCCCACATAGAACAGTTATGAATGAAATTGAACTGAGCTAACCATACAACCTTACTCATGGAATAATACCTTACACACAAGTCCCAAGCATCACCATCACAATGGCTGGGTATGTCCTGTACCACCAGCAGGACAGACCCAACAGAAGCGGTGGCACAGTGGTATAGTATACAGTAGGAGGGGGCTGCTTCACAAGTGCTCTATATTGACTCTGGGCCCCATGAAGTATCATGGCATCAGGCCAAACATGGGCAAGGAAACCTCCTGCTGCATGGAGAGTGTCCAGGGGTGCAGATTGTACTGAGTGGGTGACTTCAATGTCCATGACCAAGAGTGTCTCAACTAGACCATTATTTACTGAGCTGGTCAAATTCTTAAGGACATTAGAGACCGAGGAGTTCAGGTATATAATTCTTCAAAGTTTGCATCTCTAATAGATAGAATGGCTAAGAAGGCATTTAGCGTGCTTGTCTTCAGACCTTGACAGTATAGGAGTTATGATGTTAAATTGAGGTTGTACAGGACATTGGTGAGGCCTCTCTTGGAGTACTGTGTCCAGTTCCAGTTTCCCTGTTGTAGGGAGGATATTATTAATCTGGAGAGGGTTCAGAAGAGATTTACCAGAGCGTTGCCAAGCAAGGAGGATTTGAGTTATAAGGAGAGGCTGGATAAGCTGGGACTTTTTCCACTGGAGTGTTGGAGGTTCAGAGGTGACCTTATGGAGGTTTGTAAAATAACGAGGGCTATAGAAATGGAGAATGGTAGGTATCTTTGACCAAGGGTGGGGAATTTCAACACTAGAGGTCATATTTTTAAGATGAGAGGAGAAAGATTTAAAAATGAGGGGCAATTTTTTTTTTTGCACAGAAAGTTGTTCATGTGTGGAACGAACTTCTAGAGGAAGTGATGGATGCGGGTACAGTTACAATGTTCAAAGGACATTTGGATAAGTATATGAATAAGAAATATCTGGAGGGATTATGGGCCAAGTGCAGGCAGGTGGGACTAATTTAGTTTGGGGTTATGATCGACATAGACTGGTTGGACTGAAAGGTCTGTTCCTGTGTTGTATGACTCTATGACATAGCTGCAATAGTAGGTCTGAGGCAAAATGGGAATCAACGAAGGGAAAAGTATAAATGGCCTCATCTTCACCGATCTGACTGCTGCAGATGCAGGTGCCTACGAAAGTATTGGCAAGAGTGATCACCACATAATCAGTACGGAGACCAAATCCTGTCTTCACAGTGAAATTACCCCGTCATGTTGTGTGGAACTATCATTGTGCTCAATGAAGTGATCTAGAAACACAAGGTTGGACATCCATGATGCACAGTGGGCTATCAGCAGTAACCAAATTGTACTCCAGCACAACCTGCAACCTCATGGTCTGACATAACCCCATGCTACCATGACCATCAAGTCAGAGGATCAACCCTATTTCACTGGAGAGTGCAGAAGGGCAAGTATCAGGCGTACCTGAAACAGAGGTGTCCACCTGGAAAAGCTACAAAACAGGATAGCAGCAAGTGAAGAAACAAAGCCAGTGATTCCACAAACAACAGATTAGATCTTAGTTCTGCAGTGTCCACCATCTAGCCATGAATGGCAGTGGACAACTAAATTGGAGGAAGATCTACAAAAATCCCCATCCTCAGTAATGGGTAAGCCCAGTACATACCAACAGATTAAAGAACAGCTTCTTCCATACTGTTATCAGGCTTATGAACGGACCTCTCATATTCAGCATTCTGTTCTATTACCCTGATGTACTTATCTAAGTTCTGATTTGACTGGTTACCATGCAAAACGATACTTTTCACTGTATCTCAGTGCATGTGACATAAATAAATCAAATCAGTGGAAAAGACAGAAGCATTCTCAACAGTCATCAGCCAGAAATGCCAACCTTTTCCAGAGGTCCTAGTATCATAGATGCCAGTCTACAGACAGTGCGATTCACTCCATGTGAAAGAAACGGCTGGAGGCACGAGATACTGCAAGGACGATGGACCATAAAACCAAAGAACTGCAGATGCTGGAGATCTGCAACAAAAACAGAAATGGCTGGAGAACCTCAGCACAACAAGTTCTAAACAGGAGTCATCGGACTTGAAACGTTAACTGTTTCCTCTGTGCAGATACTGTCAGACCTGCTGAGGTTCTCCAGCAATTTCTGTTTTTTGTTGCAAAGACAGTTATTCCAGCAATAGAGCCGACGACATTGTCCAGAACTTGCCGCAGTCCCAGTATAGCTACAACATTGGTATTTATATGATAATTGGAAAATTGCCAGGTGTGTTCTGTACACCAAAAGGAGGACAAATCCAGCCTGGCCAATTACCAGCCAACAGTGCTATCAAACAGCACTTGCTAAACAACAAACTTCTCATTGGCTCCGGTGAAAACCATTACCCAAAGTCACTCAGTTCCTGACCTCACAACAACCTTAGTTCAAACATGGTCAAAAGAGCTGAATTCCAGAGGTGAGGTGAGAATAATCGCCCTTGACTGATTGTGGCAAGAAGGAGTTTGAGCAAAACTGGATTCAATGGGAATCAAAAGAAAACTATCTGCTGGTTGGAGTCATACTTGGGACAAAGAAAGGTGGCTGAAGATCAGTCATCTCAGCTCCAGGACGTCTCTGCAGGAGGTCCTCAGGGTTCATGTCCTCGGCCCAACAATGTTTAGTTGCTTTATCAATGATCTTCACTCCATCATAAGGACGGAATTGTGGCTGTCTGCTGACAAGTCCACAACTTTCAGCAGCATTTATGACCACTTAAACGCTGAAGCAGTCCATGCCCAAATGCAGCATGACTGGGACAATATCCAGGCTTAGGCTGTCAAGTAGCAAATAACACTCATGCCACACAGATGCCAGGCAATGACCACCTCCAACAGGAGACAATCTAACTACCAGCCCGTGATATTCAATGGTGTTACTATTACCGAATCCCCAATTACCAACATCCTGGGGGTTACCATTTACCAGTAACTTAACTGGACTAGTCATACAAACACAGTGGCTATAAGGACAGGTCAGAGGCTAGGAATCCTGCAGTGCATAATTGACTCAAAGCTTGTCTACCATCTACAAAGCAAAGGTTAGGAGTGTGATGAACCTTCCACAGTTGCCTGGATGAGTGCAGCTCCAAGAACACTCAAGAAGCTCGATAACATTCAGGACAAAGTGGGCCACTGATTGGCACCGCATCCACAAGCATTTACTCTCTTTACTGATGACATACAGCAGCAGCAGGGTGGACCAGTTACAAGATGCAGTGGAAAAATTCCCCAAGGATTATCAGACAGCACCTGCCACACCCAAGAACATTTAGGACAATGACAGTAGATCAGCGAGGACACCACTACTCAAGTTGTTCTCCAAGCCACTCACCAACCTGACTTGGAAATATATCATAATTCTTTCACTGTTGCTGGGTCAAAATTTTGAACTCCCCTTTAAACAGCACTGGGAGTGTATGCACACTGAATGGATTACAACATTTCAAGAAGGTAGCTCATCACCACCTTCTCAAGGCCATGAGGGTTAGGCAATCAGTGTTCGTCCAGCATCCCCTGAATAAATAAAAATAAAAGGGCATTGAGGTGGAGATGAGTTATGATGCGTCAGAACAAGCTTAAGAGGCTGAATGTTTCTCTCACCACTTCCTAATTGATGGATTTCCAAATGAGATTATGGAGGCAAAAAATCTGGGATATTTTGCAATAACAATTTCTCTGATCATTTTGTGTGTGTGGGGTTGGGGGGGGGGGGCGGGGCAATCAGATTTTCCACTTAAATACACTTCAATGCCTCCTTTTATCCATTTCCAACATATGACAGCGCTAAACAGAAACTTCCTTTAATGTACCTAATTTACCTCAAGCATGTGGACAGTTCAAGAAAGCAGCTCAACACTACCTTCTCAAGGACAACCATGGTTGAACAATAAATGCTTGCCAGCCGATGATGCCCACATTCCACAAGTGAATTACAAAGTGGAAATGAGATGCAAAGGGAAAAGAATAAAACAACAAAATATACCTTGTTCTCTGGTGTCCATTAAATTTGAGATGATGCTGTACACAGAATGCCGATCGGATTGCATCAGGGACTAAAGAAAAGAAGACATTAAAAGAAACACACAAAATACCTTTATAACCCACATGAGGCTACATTACTTACAAATCAGTTCGCTGCCAAAATGTCCCAAGGTGCTCAATTAGACAGCTATCGATTAAAACATTTTGGGCAGTGTTGGACATTAATTAAAACAAAAAATGCATGTTTATCAAAGACAGGGATTTATGGGAAAGAAAAGATGGGAGAGAGGTTTAGGGCAGGAATTCTCTTTCTTAGGGGCTAGATAGTTGAAATCTATCAGTGGATTTGGTCTCGGGCTATCATCCGTCTTCGTGCCTCTCCCTCACAGTCCCCTTAATCAGTAGCAGTGCCCAAAACCAAAGTAAACAAAGCAAGGGAGCATACGATAAATGCAAGAGTATTGAGAAGGGTGGAGAAAAGTTATGGACATTGGAGGGCATGTCGACAGGCTCCTAAAGACGGCAGCACAGTTACATAAGGTGATAAAGAAGGCATATGGAATGCTTTCCTTCAGTTGGAGAAGTGTTGACTATTACAGCAGAGATGCAATGGCGGAGCTATACAAGTCACTAGTTAGGCCAAAGATGAAACACATGTCCATACAATTCCTATAGTGTGGATTCAGGCCATTCGGCTCAACAAGTCCACACCAACCCTTTGAAGCTCATCCCACCCAGACCCATCCCCTTATCCTAGAACCCTGCATTTCCCATTGCTAATGCACGTAACCTATACATCCCTGAACACTATGGGCAATTTTAGCATGGCCAATCCACTTGACCTGCACATCTTTGGGCTGCGGAAGCAAACTGGAGCACCCCGCAGAAACCCACACAGACACAGGTAGAATGCGCAAACTCTAGACAGACAGTCACCCGAGGGCGGAACCGACTGTGGGTCCCTGGAGCTGTGAGGCAGCAGTGCTAACCACTGAGCCACCATGCCGCCCATAAACTGGTCACTACATCACAGAAAGGACATGATAACTCTAAGTTGTTCGGAGGAGACTTATAAGAATGCTACCAGGGTTCGAAAATTGCAGGTCTGAGCAAAAATTGGAAAGACTAGGGATGCTTTCCTTAGAACAGAGGAGGCTGAAGGATGCCTTAATTAAACAATATAAAATAATGACGAGCTTGGTGAGTGGACAGAGAAGACCTATTTTTCCTAGCAGAAAATCACCAGAGGGCACTAACTTAACATACTGGAATAGAAATTGCTGGAGAAACTCAGCAGGTCTGGCAGCATCTGTGGAGACAAAACAGAGATAATGTTGAGTCCAGAGTTAACAGTATGGCTCTTCTTTAGAAGTCTAGAATGGATTTAAGATGATTGGTAGAAGGATTAAAGAGGCAAGAAAAACATTTTCCACAGAGGGCAGTGGGTGACTGGAATCCACAACTCTACTTGGCGGTTGAGATCGAAACTCTCAATTCATTCAAAAGGGCACTGCACCTGCACCTGAAGCACTGTAACCTACAAAGCTATGGACCAAGGGCTGGCAAGCTGGTATAATGGGTAGCTGGTTTATTTAGCTGGCACAAACACACTGGGCTGAATGGACTTTTTCTGTGTTTAAACTTTCTATGTCTCGAAAACATTGAACTGGGTTTTCTCTTGTCAGTAGTGTTCCACAGGATTTTCTGATGTGTATCATGTGAACTCACCTGGACATGCACCTCCTGGAACAATGCCTTCAGCATAATTACAGCCAATCCTTCCGGCAGAACGGAGCTCATGCTCTAAGGGCAACAGATAAAGCAACGATAGTTATGCCAGAAAGAATGGATTGATGACAGTTTGCAATATACACTGTTCCACTTGTTAACTGCTTTCCAACACAGCAGGAAACTACATTAAATCATATTATATTAAAAATACTTGGAAAATGATAAGGCTTCCACCAACAGAAATCCAATGAAATACTTTCATCCTAAATAATCAAATTCTCCGTCAACACATGCTGCTCAACTTGCTTCCGGCATTTTCTGTTTTCATTTCAGACTTCCAGGTTTCATATTATTTTGCTTTTGTACTACAGTAGTTGAATTTTCTTCAGCCCTTTCTTGATATCCTTCACGCACTTATTCCCAATAAATTATTTCTCTCTTTTAAACACTTTAATTCAATCTATGGCCTTCTAAGGCAGTGTACTCTCTCAACTCCATATGTGATGGAGTTTCTCCCTGTATTTGGTTTCAACTAGTTCAGCCTTTGTTCGTGGTTTCCCCTTTAAATAGAGCAATGTTCTTTTGGCAAGCAGGTGATGATAACAGCACAAAATGCCCAATGTCTTGTATAGTAATAATATGACCTACTTTCGACTTTTTTCATTCTCTTTGCTCATGCTGCAAACCTTTTCACATTAAATGCAGCTAGGTGAATAAGGGAACTTGCATTTATATATACAACACAAAGAGCTTTTAAAAGGTACCAAAGGCATTTAATAACTTCGAAGTGTAGTCACTGATGGTATGTTGGAAAATTTTAAATTTGGTGCTAACAGTTTGATCAAAAGATCACTTTTCTGATCAGCCAGCTGAACCGCAATTACAGTTGCAATTAACAGTTTCCCCTCTGTGCTCTGAGCAGTGTCAATCACACGAGTCTTGTCACTACAAATTACTCAAAACTGCAGCAGGAGCTGTTTTCTGAGGTATGGCTGAAGCAAGTTGTTGGAAGAGAGAGTGAGATCTCCAAACTGCTATTAAATTGTGTTGTAAGTACTGACAAATGTTGACAAGAATCATTCCAACATTTACAATTCACTTCAACAAAACATACAAAAACAATAAACATTCTCACCAAGGCTTTCAACCCTTGCAAGACATAAGGTGTGATAATGTAATGATCCTTCAGTCGATCTATATAGAAGATAGCCAGTGCCTCCACTGAAAGAAAGCAAAGAACGATGATTTATTTGGTGCTTTCCGTAACTAACGGACATCTCACAGCCAATGACGTACTTTTGAAGGACAGTCACTGTTGTAATGTAAGAAAACTGGCAGCGATGTTCACAAAGCAAATTCTCAATTATTGACAATGACTACATCATCTTTTCATGACATTGGTAGAGGAAAGAATATTGGCCTGGACATCAGAAAAAAATTGCCGCATTCTTCGAAATAGCGCCACAGAATTTTTATGCTCATCCAAGCAGGTAGATGGGGCCTCGGCCAACTTCTCATTTTAAAGTTGGCACCTATTATAGTCTTGCATTGCCTCAGTAATGAATGCCACTGTAGGTTTTTGTTCTCAAACATTATGGAGTTTGAACCTGAAACCTTGCAACCCAGAGGTAACAGCGCATTCAACTGAGATAATGTTAGTTTAAACTCTTGTTTTTTTTTTCTCTCAGGATGGGAGGTGCAGGGAGAAGGAGAGAGTTTGACAGACAGTCAGAGAAGGAGAGTGAAAAGAATTAAAGGAATCTTTTGCATGGCGGACTGTGTCACTGGGTTGGAGTTGAGCGAACTAACTTGTAGTGTCTGCGAGAATGGGGTAATAGTGAAGGTGTGGGAGCTCAGTTGGCTGTGGCTTGGAATCCTAGCAGTTGTATCTTTCAACATTTCTGTATAAGATGCAGCCTTCACTGGTTGCGTTTCATTTGACAATTCACCTTTTGCTTGATAAACTTCACCCTAAAGCAAGGCAGGAAAAGTCTATGTTGTTCAGAGGAGACTTAAAAGAATGCTGCCAGGGTTTGAAGATTGCAGGAATGAGCAAAAATTGGAAAGGTTAGGGATGCTTTCCTTAGAACAAAGGAGGCTGAAGGATGACTTAATCAAGGAGTATAAAATAATGATGGGTTTGATGAGCGGACTGAAAAGACCCATTTTTCCTCGGGGAAATGTCAATCACCAGGAGGCACAGACCTTGCCCAGAGACCAATACTGCTGGCCATTGACTGGTGGCCCTGACCTAAAATTGTAATAATTTTCTTTTAAAATTTGTTCTTGTCATGTCAACAATATCAGCTCAGATCTGGTTGCTGAAAGTTGCATGACGGAGTGGTCTGAATTTCAGAGGACATTAACGGTGAAGCACACTACATAAAAAATAGTTACGTGAAGACTGAGTAAAGTGAAACATCTTGGGTTTTCAAAACAATGTGGCAGTATTAATGGCCAGTGTTGAACAATCTAGAAAAGGTGATGGACAGAGAGAAGTTAACCCCTCTTCTAAAAGTGCTTCTCTCCCCACACAATCACTGAGCAATCCTTCTTCCAGTCTAGTTGTCTGTAAAGCAGAGTCTCCATCATGGCCCTGCCTGCCTAGACCAATGATAGATTTATTGTAAATCCATAAAGTGAACATCAGTACATTTGAAAACAATGAATTTAGCATCTTCTCAATCTGTACACAAAACTCTTACCTTCTTTTTGTTTGAGAGACGAATAAGACAGCAACAAAACCTGAGACAGAAGCTGAATCCCTCGGCTTCTTGTTCTTGGCTCAGAATTTGTTAAACATTTCCTGTAAATCAAAATGTATTTTAAGAAACAGCACAATTAGACTTGATCCAACTAGTGTTAGTGTTCGTTTAGTCATAACATGTAATTACAGCTGGAATGTTATCCCTTCGCACAAATACTAATTCCTTGCTATAATTCAGGGCTTTCTCAAGATGCAGGCTCTTTCTAAAGTATTTTACCAGAACTATCAATGCAATGACAGCCCAGACAATGCATCTGTGTCAGTGTTGCCCCAGCTGAAATCAGCTAACTCAGCGAAGATCAGCATGGCAATTGTTGCTTTCTGGTTTACACAGTACACTGCAACACAGGATTATGCCTTTGCATTCCAGTAATGAGGAGCTCCGATTCAGACAGCGCACTGATATTTTGAAATGTTCTTGGTAAGGAAACAGGTGCACTGGGAGCCAAAGCTAAACTTCAACAGTTTCAGTACTCATTTTTAAAAAAACAGCAACAATAACAGCCTCTCTAAATGAAACTGCTGACACTATTGAAAATTAATTCCCCTCACCCTGACTTTATCAATGTTTTTCTCTTTTTATCTACTCTGAGTAGAGGAGACTAACTGCAATTGTGAACTTAAATTAACCCTATTGGAGATCTGCTAACAAGGCGAAGGCCTATTACGGCACCTAACTATTCCAGCTTGTGAAATCACCCCTTAAATTCTTCTGGAAGTTAAACGAATCACCCACGGCAGATAAAAGTTGCTTTAGTATGTTGGGCCAGGCAAAGCGGTAAAATCAAATCAAATCAGTCCAAGTGACACAGACTTGACAAGTATGTGAGAACAGGATTATTAGCAAAGGGCAGTGATGCCCAACATGGCCAAATAATGCAGTTCATTACCTTAGCTCATGCGTAAAGAACATGTGGGTAAGACATTAGCTGTACCTGGTACCCATGAAGTTATGCTCAAACAAGGGGTATTGAAGATTAGGCAGGAAGAGAAATTCCCCTTTCCATCACAATGAAGAAAAAGTTTATAATTAACCTACGCTAGACAGTAAGTTTAGGAACTATATATTGATCTTGCAAGATGAATGAGGAATGACACAGATACATCAGTATAGCTCATTCAAGTGCCCAGGAGTCATCCAAACAACTTCATATCCAATGAACAACAATTAAGTATAGTTACTGTGTAAAGTAGGAAAAACAGCAGCAAATTTTTCACAGCAAGTTTCCACAATTAGCAATGTGACAACAACCAGACAATCTACATGCTACTTAAGGGTTAAACATCGGCTGAGACACCGATGTTAACTGTCCTGCTTTTCTTTGAAGAATGCTGTGGAGTTTTTCGTATACAGCTGAAAAGCTGCTTGGGGCCTTCAACAAATGTCTTATCAAAAAGACAACAACTTTGTCAGTTGAGGAGTTGCTCAGTAGAACACTGGGAGTGTGCACCTGATAGATATGCTCAATTCCTGGAGTGGGACTTGATCTCACAATCTTCTAACTTAAAGATAACCAACTGAGCGATAGCTGAAATTCTCACAAATTTCATAACTTCATTTCATTTCAAATTGCATAAATACGGCTTGCATGCCTAAGTATTGAACAGTGAGCGATAATCTGATTGAAGTATTCAGAGGAATTCAATCAAGTAGATTTAGAGAAACTAATCACTCTGGTAAAAGAAATCATACTTTGCACATAAAAACTAGTGGAAACCTAGAATCTTCCCCCCCAAAAACATCACTGATGCTGAGGACAAATTTCAAGACAGAGATCATTAGGTAAGCATGTAGATCAGAAGAGGATAGAACTGACCTGAGGTACAAATTAACCTTCAACTAATTTATATTATAATGTGGAGCTGAACAAATCTTTTTGTTTTGCACATTGCACAGGATCGATAATCAGCAAATTGTAATGGCCAACATCAACCCAATTGAACAAATACGTAGTTTATCAAACAGCATGAGCCAGTGCTCCAGAAACTACTTTTACAACAAAGACGCAAATTTTTGTTAACTGTTGATCAAAGTCGCTCATCAAAACTTAACACTTTGCAACAGAGAAAAAGGTCAGAAGAGAATTGAACCACCAATAAAGCTTACAAGGTCCATCAGCACAAAAGATAATTCACATTCAACTTTAACATGTGAACGCTGAACATTAAAAGGACAACGACGTTTTAAGAATAATTTCACGAAGTAGAAGGCTCAAGGTTTAGTTCTTTTTTTATTTGCTGAACTCAATTTGAACTTTTATAAATTGGCGTCACTGGAATAGAGAAGGGGACACAAACAACCCAGGTTCCTGTCAATCAACTATCCATCACTGATTTAAACACAGAAGGGCAGAAGCAAGATCAGCTGTGAATCACCCTACAGCCAGACAAGAATTATTTTCTCAGCTGACAACAAGACATGGAAAAGCTGAAGTCTATAGTACCCATGAAACCCACATTCTACCAAAAAACCACTAACTTTAGGGAAGACGCAGAAGAAGAAGAAGACACAGAGCAACAAACATAAGGAATCAGTCTGTGTTCATCCAGCTCTACACCTTGTTATCTCAGATTCTCCAGCATCTGCAGTTCCTACTGTCTCTGAATCAGTCAGTTAATCGTTTTTAACTGGCTCTTCCAGTCTACAAAACAAAGCAAGACTAATTAAGACACTGAACAAGGATGGTTTGCATTACCCCAAGGCTTCCACAATTTCCAGTGCAGTGCACTTCCCATCAATGACACCTAAAAGGAAACGAAACACAATTAATATTCCATGGAGTGTGCATCAGACTCTCAATTCCCGTAATATGTAACATTGAAGATATTTAAATTATCCAACTATTTCATTCTTTTATTGAGTTGTTAGCAAATGCTGATAAAGCACAAAGAGTGCAGGTAACGTTCTACCAGTCTGTCCTTTTCAGTTGTTATCGGATCTTTTGTGCATTCCCAGAACTTTCTGGCTTCAAGTATCAGAAAACAGCAACATGGAAGAGGCATCACACAACAAAAATTACAGCCAGTTACAAATTTGCATTCAGATTATGTCTACTAGCACACTTTTTGCATTGGCATTCACAGGTAACCTTGGACCTGGAACATCAGAGACACAATCATTAAGGTCAGACATGGCATTGCACTGTTCAACAGAAAATACACCAGAACAGCGCAGCAAAAACACCATGCAGCTAGTACAGCATTACAGAAACCTACTTACATAACATGTTCTCATTTATAACTGATTGTATAACAATTAACTTTGAAACAATCCAACATAAAAACCACAATTCAATAATTGTCAATGGGATGTTAAGCTTGTGAATATGTGCATTTCCTGTTCTTAAGTTTTACTGAACAGTAGTAGAGTTCCTACAGAGTCGTGCAACATGAGTCAGGGCAAAGTGTAATTTTAAAGTTACAAACTGTGACCATATTTTCATATTTTAGCTTGATAATAAAGACTGAGTAAATAATTTGAACTGCAGTTATACTGTCTGATCATAAATGGAACTGCAGTGCCTCTGAAGGGACAGTACAATTACAGCGTGACATATAAATGTGAGCAGTTTCCATTCTAAATACAAACACAAGAATTTATTACGAGAAAGGACAAACAGGAAGTGCAGGCTTGAGATTGTGCCATTTTATCAGGACTGGTTAGCAATTCAATTTGTCGTAACTAGAGCGCCCAACCAGAAACTAAACCCTCAATGCAAAGATAAAGAAACTTTTGATTGTGTCAGTCAGGGCTTCCTTTCCCTATTTCTGTGACAAAGACAACGAAGGTCACTGCTACAATTATTCCATGCTTGTTCTCCAAAGCTGAGACAACGTGTAATCTGCTGCATAAGCACAAAATATTAAGGAAGAAAAACCTCAATGTCATTTTTCCCAATGGCTATGCTGGACTAAGAATGCAACTTCAGGGCTAAATTTGTACTAAGGATCACCCTGCTTTTTAAACACATCCCTCCTATTTTAGGAATGACATAGAAGCTAATTAAGAAACAGAGAAAGGTTGTCTCCTGAGAAAGCTAGACTGATTTAATCTTCTTTTGCAGGCAGTAGAAATGGAACTTCAGACTTTTTAGCTCGGACAGATACAGAGTCTGTATGTCTGTGCATAATTGCTGTACAACAGTTCCTCCCACACATTTTGCTGGAGAACAAAGTAGAAGAAACCACACTGATAAAATGCTGTTATGTCATAGCTTGTATCATCTGAAATGCAGTAGCACGAGATATCATCAGTCTGTTGGATGAGCACTTAAAATGCCAGGGCTATGAACCAAGTGCAGGTAAATGAGATTAGTGTAGTCTGGGGTTTGTTGATCGGCATAAATATAGTGGGCCAAAAAACCTGTTTCTATGCTGTATGATTCTATGAACATCTTCAGGTGCACAGAGTTAATCCTATTTGAAGAGCAGGGAGTTCTCATAATGCCCTAGGCAACACTGACTATGGTTCACAGGATGCTGCTGTATTTGACTAAATAGCAACACCGATGAAAAATTGCAAGTAATTTGTTGCTGTGAAGAGATATTGGACATCTCGAGGATGTTTAAGGTGCAACACACATGCAAGTTTGTTGTTTCTTTCCTCTGTAATCAATATTCAGGAAGGAAGTAGATTGGAGGTTAAAAGCTGCATCTTTCAGCTTACACATCCTGTATAATTATCTTCAATAATATATCAAGGCCAAGTCATTATTCATTCTTGGAATACAGCGTGGGTACATAACTACTCTAATTAAAACGAAATGCACTGCTGCAGGTACATCTCACCAAATCAACAAACTTCTTACTTGTATGTTGTATTCGTATACTCATATATGTTTTATCCTCCATAGCTTTATCTAACACATTTCTAACAAATAGCCCTCTAGAATTTAATGTTATGAAATACTATGTAACAAAAGTGTGGAATGTGTTTGCTAATCATTATTTTGTGCATTGAATGAAATTTTGATTTTTCACTGAAATGCATTGGATTCAATATTCTCATCTTTATGTAAAATCCTCTCCATGAGCTCAGCCACCCAACTTCTGCACTTTCACTCAACTCCCAACTCAGCCTGTGCTCTTCAGTTCTGTGTCTGTTTTCTCCTGGTGATGCAATTGATCCAATTATTCATTCCCTATGCATATCTTCACCACCATTAGAAGAGAGCATTCACTCAGAAATTCCCTCTGTACTAGCCAATATTTATCCCTCATTCAACAATGCAAAAACACAATCTGGTCATTATATTACTCCTTATAGGAGCTTGCTTGTGCTAACTGGTTGCTGGGTTTCTTACATTGCTACAGTAACAACAATACAAAAAGCAATTAATTAGCTGCGATGCATATTGTGATGTGCCGAGGTCAAGTCAGGCCTCATTAATCTAAGTTCTTTCTTTCCTTAAAGTATTCCTCAAATTCCTAATAACATTTTGAGCAACGAACAGCTTAGTTTCACTTATGACAGTTGTCGCACCCCGTCCTATGGAAATCTGCAAACTAAAACCAGAGAGCTGAAGTGCCCACAGCTGTTTAAACACGGTCCTTTGCGTCATCATAACCCAGCTTGCAAATTCACGTAATAGGCAGCAACAGTGATTTAAACATATTCCGAGGCCCTTCTTAAACTGAGGACATAATGAGTTTGTTTTGCTATTGCCATCAGCTGCATGAAACCAGCGTCAGAATCCTGCAGCACCAGCAGGGCCTTAATAATAAAGCCAAAGCAGCTCATAAGCAGGTAACTGTATAAACAAAGACGTGCACGTGTCCATATCGCTGGTAGAACGATCCCCAGTAACAGATGTATGTCACAGTATGTTCAACAGGTTGGTTAAAAGTGATTCAAGGAGTCTTATGATGCATTGGTGTCATCCCTAACTCTAGGCCAGAAAGCCTGGATTTCAGTCCTACTTATTCCAGGGTGTCATTTGTCTGAAAAAAAAATGACTGAAAATAATTTTCGTAACTCCTTTCACAATGTCAACACAGTCTAACGTGCTTACAGCTAATACCTACTTCTGAAATGCAGTCACTGTTATAATGAAAAGCAGGGAAGCCAATTTACACATAGCAAACTCCAACTAACTGTGACAATGACTTAAGTTTTTTTAGTGACATGGATTGAGACATAGGTATTGGCCATTCCCTTGTACTCCTCTAAAATAGCTGCAAGAAATCTCATGTTCATCCATGGCAGCATACGAGGCCTCAGTTCAGCGTCTAGCCTCAAAGACAAAGCTTCTAACTGTACAACACCTTCTATGCATTGGACTACCAACATTGATTTCTTTTTCCAAGTCTTTACATTGTAGGTCCACATAATCCATACTACAAATTCCACAAAATAAGGTGAAGGAACAAGCCATGGGTGGTTGCATGAGTAACATTTAAGATAAGCATTATTTCACACATCTTCCCTGAAAAACAAACCAGGAATGTGCACAGAAGAAATTGAGATGCTTCATCTTCCCAACCCAGTTTTGCCCAGGACAGCCATCTCTCTTCAGTGTCCTCCCCTTTTAAATCAGGTGCTGAAATGTGCTCCCTACAATCAACAGACTGTATAGAATGCCTGATCAGCTGATCCCTGAACTCACATTTTCATGAGAATAATGCACAACTGGTTCTCTAGAAATCCAACAAATGGAAAGGGAAATGAGCAATTGTTCAATGCTATAAATGCACCTTTGTTTGAATTTTGAATTTGAACAGGCAGTGACTCTAGTGGGGTGGCACAGGGAGCGGTGCTGATACTGCAGTTATTCACAATACATGTTCACGTTTTAGATAAGGGAACTTAATGTAGTAACTCCAAGGTTGCAGATGACACAAAGCTGGGTGGAAACGTGAGTTGTGAGGATATTGAAGCGACCTTTCCCTGACCTGTCCCTGTGGTTTCCTTAACCCAATTGCATCTTGGTGATTTGGACAAGCTGAGTGGGCAAATGTATGGCAGATGAAGTATAATGTGAGGTTATCTACATTGGTAGCAAAAACAGGAAGGTTGATTATTATTTGAACGGTGATAGATTGGGAAAGGGGGGGCAATACAACAAGACGTAGGTGTCCTCATACACCAATCACTGATAGTAAGCAGACAGGTGCAACAGGCAGTAAAGAATACAAATGATATGTTGGCCTTCATAGCGACAGAATTCAAGCACAGGAGCAGGCAATTGTACCAGCCCTTGGTGAGACCACACCTGGAACATGCTGTGCTGTTCTGGCGTCTTTATCAGAGGAAGGGTATTCTGACAGTGGAGGGAGTGCAACAAAAGTTTAACAAACTAATTCCTGGGATGGCAGGACTGACATATGGAGAGAGATTGGATTGGTTAGGACAGGACTATATCCAACAGAGTTTAGAAGAAGGAGGGGGGGTTCCCAAAGAAACCTATAAAATTCTAACAGGACTAGACAGGGCAAACCAAAGGAAGAAATATCCAATGACCTGGGAGTCCAGAACCAGGGGTCCCAGTCCAAGAATACATGGTAGGCCATTAAGGGCTGAGATGTGGTGAAATTTCTTCAAACATGAGAGTGATGAGCCTGTGGAATTCACTATCGCAGAAAGTGGTGGAGGCATAAACATTGAATGCTTTAAAGGAGGAGTTAGATGTAATTCTTACAGCAAAAATGATCCAAGGGTTAGGGAGGGTCCTGAGTGGGATGATCAGCATGTTCATATTGAATGATGGATCAGGCTTGAAGGGCCAAAAGACCTAGTCCTGCTCCTATTTTCTGTGTTTCTATGTCTCTTTAGAAATGGAAGTGTGTTTCCTTATAAGAAAAAACTATTTAGTCCATAACAGCTGAAACTCGCAAATAAGTTCCTCCTCAGGATAAAAGCTGCCAAAGTGTTTATCAAATCTGTTGCTGTTTCTGAATATATCTGTGATTGCAAATAAGTAGAAAAAGATAGCTTCCGAATTCAAAGGTTTTCAAACAAAATATTCTTGTGAATGCTGTACTCTTAGAAACAGAGTACACAATGCAATCAACACGTAACTCTCGGTTGCGACAAATATCAAAGATTCCACAGACTTTTTCAAGAACAGCAGCTTTGTTCACTGTGCCAGCCAAACAATAACATTCACAGAACCAAGCTCAACTGTAAAGATACAGCAATTAACCTCAATACCAGAGTTAAGAAAGGACGGAGGCGATGACAAACATTGAGGGTGAGAAGAGCAGTATGCAAACCTGGAACTATAGTTTGAAAAGACAACACTTGCAGAAATAGGGTGGCAGAGTGGCTCAGTGGTTAGCACTGCTGCCTCACAGCACCAGAGACCCATGTTTAATCCCAGCCCCGGGCAACTCTCTGTGTGGAGTTTGCACACAGTCCCCATGTCTGCATGGGTTTCCTCCCACAGTCTAAAGATGTCCAGGTCAGGTGAATTGGCCATACTAAATTGCCCATAGTGTCCAGGGGTGGGTAGGCAATGGGGTTGCAGGGATGAGGGGCGAGTCTGGGTGGGATGCTCCTTTCTGAGTTGGTGTGGACTCATTGAGCTGAATGGCCTGTTCCCACACTCTAGGGATTCTATATCATTACAAATGATATAAATTTGAAATAAAAACAAATATATAAAATACTCAGATCAGGCAGCATCTGTGGAATGTGGAACGGAGCTAATACTTTGAGTTGAATACGACTCTTCTTCAAAACTTCTTGTAGGAGCACTGCCAAGAGTCAAACAACAGAAGAAAAAGCCCACAAAAAGCAAAATTATATTGACAAAACTTTTTTGATCTGGCGAAATAATGAGGGAGTGTTGAGCGAGGCCTCTTCTGGAGTGCTGCGTCCAGACCGGGTCGCCTTGTCATAGGAAGGATAGTATTAAGCCAGAGAGGGGTCAGAAAAAGTTCAGCAGGAATGGAGAATTTGAGTTATAAGGAGAAGCTGGGACCTTTTTTCCACTGGAGCATAGGTGGTTGAGGGTTGACCTTATAGAGGCTTATAAAATCATGGGTAGACATAAAGTGAGTGGTAGGTGTCTTTCCCTTGGGATGGGGGATTTCAAGACAAGGCAGGATATCTTTAGGTGAGAGGAGAAAGATTGTTAAAAATACATGAGGGGAAACTTTTTTTGCACAGAGAGTTGTTCTTGTTTGGAATGAACTGCCAGAGAAATTGGTGGATGCAGGTACAATTACAATGGTTAAAAAACATTTAGATAAGTCCATGAATAAGAGGGATATGGGCTAATCGCAAGCAGGTGGGACTAGGGTCAACATGGACTGGTTGGGCTGAAGGGTCTGTTTCTGTGTGGTATGACTATGACAATGACAAGGGAAGGTTTTTTTCCAATTTGTAATCAAAGTTTCTCCATCCTGTAAACATTACTAAATGCCAACATATATTATTTAATTGAGATTTCATGACATCCACATTTTTAAAAATTGCAACAAACATCAGTAGAACATCAAGAAATGTGTAGCAGATTGCTGCCCCAGGGCACAAATCAGTGGTGTTGGCAATGCGGTGTTTAAGAGCTCTAAACTCCCAGCCATAAGGAAAGTTAAGTGAATCAATAATTTTCAAATCAATACCGCATTACTGCTGTCTGTGAAATTCCAGTAAAGCATGCCATTATTTTGAATTCAAAGGTCTTATCTATCATTGACTGTTTTGCTGGATCCAGAAGCATCAAGTTCCAGCAAGCAATTTTAATGAAAGGTAATTTGACACTTTGAAACTGATTACCCATCCCACATAATAGCCTTTTTTTTGAATGAGAAAAATGTGGAAAGACAGCAAAAACAAATAAATAAATTCACTACCAATAGACAAATTTCAAAAATGCCGTTTTGAATATTTCTAGCTAAATTGCAAGAACAGTTATAAAATTGTTAAATGCTTCTCATTCAAAGTGACAATTCTTTTTTCTCTCCAAGTTTCTCTGTTTTCCCAATAAGGTTTGCTCCCCTAAATTAACAGTTCCTCAGAAACTTGTTCTAAACATGACCATTCTGCATTGAGGACTGAAGTACTGAGTCCAAAGGAACTTAGAAGAACACATTCTGGAAGGATCATGGGCTCAAATGTAGAAAACAGAATTTCAGTAAAGCTAATTTTATCCACCTGGCTTTGAAAGAATCAGCTTTCATACTTAGATGCAGCCTGAAATATGGGATCAGGACATTACAATAAAGCAGTCAAAAACAACTTGGAGAAGAGAGCCCCAATCCATTCAGATATTAAAAGCCCAAAATTACTGTCACTAAGTTACCAGTGAGGGCAATTCTGTCTCCTTATTCAACGAAAGATATATGTGTCTTCAAGGGAGTGCAACAAAGATTTATTGAATGTGATTTCTGGAGTGAGGAAAATGTCCAATGAAGAGAGATGCAGTAAACTTGGCCCATACTCTTTGGTGTTTAAAAAAATGAAAAATCTCATTGAAACCTGAAGTTCTTGAGGAGTTTTACAGTGTACATTCTGGGAGGATGTTTCCCCCAAGGGAATCACTGTATCAGAATAAAGGTCAGCCATTTCAGAAATTAGGAGATGCTCTGTTATTGATTTTATTGAAAACAGAGAAAGATTGATTTTTGGATACTAAGAAAATCAAGATAAACGCGGGGGGGGGGGCGTGTAATATAGGATGGAGTTAGGGTAGAAAGTCTTACTGAATGGTGGTGAAGGCTCAAATGTTTGTATGGTCACATGTGCTTTTTTTATGTTCTTACATGTAAATAAACACTAAATTGGAGTTATAAGATCAAAAGAAGAATCAGATAGTTTTATATCGTATATAAAGTTTAGATCTGTAGGCTTCAACATTAGCTCAGCGGTGCTAACCTCCCAAAATTGATGATCAACTCTAGAAACTCTGGCACAGTGCTGAAACATTACACTGGCCATTTTTCAGACAAACCTTAAACTGAAATCTTTTTTGCCCACATGTTGATACAAAAGGTTCTACAGTTCTATCTGAGGAGTAGCAGAGATTTTCCTAGAGAACTGCTCAATACTCATCTTATTACTTGAACAACCAGATTCCTGAAAAGCTAGGGGAGGCCTACATGAGGGCTGTCTGGCGCAGAAGAGATACAGATCCCAGTGAGGAAACTGGGGTCCATGCGCCGTTACCAGGGTGATGGGGCCAGACAGGCGGCGCCACTTCCTCGCCCGACAGGCCTCCACCGGCGGCAACTCCTCCTCCTCCCAGACAACACTGGCTGTACACAGCACCATTCACTTCCATTCCTACCTGTGGCTAGGTCCTTGGCCGCCCCGTCCTGCAACCCACTCACAAACTCCTCCACCAGCCCTAACAGCCTCATGTCGGCCGCCATCTTCCACCACTCAACCGCGCAGGCGCCACGAGTTGGGTGTCACGTGACCACGAACGGCCCTGATCACATGCTCATGCTCCCCCGACTGCACACAGAAACTCCTTCACTTGATAGCTTTGATTTTAATTCTGTTAGTCAAAGGGAACAGAGACTGAATTCTGTGTCGAAGATAAAACATTTTTAACAGACTCTCACAGTTATTTGGTTGTACAGAACTTCAGTATTGTTGAAAAAGCAGACATGAAGTCGTATAAAAATGCTTCTTTTGTAAAAGTTGATTTTTTTCAACAATACTCAAATCACAGAATAATTACAGTGCAGAAGAGGGAGATGGTGGTGCAGTGGGAATATTGCTGCAAGGGTTATCCAAATGTCCTTTAGAGAAGGAAATATGTTATCTTTACCTAATTTGACCTAAATGTGACTCACGATCATGTGGTGAACTGTCAATTATCCTCTTAAAAAGGCAATACCAGTGATGCTCACCATCCCATGAAAGGATAAAGGAGGCCATTTGGCCTATTAATAAAAATTTTGCATTTTGTTCCATATTAATTTTGGTCTCCAATCTCCATTAACCTTTCCCTGACCTGCCCCTGTGGTTTCCTTAACCCACCAAACCAACCCTGGCAACAGAATAAAACCCACTCCTTCCTTCTTTAGTTCTTTAAAGAGTCACTGTATTTAAAATATTAGTCCTGTTTCTGTTTCCACTGATGCTGTCAAACCTGCTGGGGTTCTCCAGCACTTCCTATATGTATTTACTTTTAACTGATTTCCCTTCTTCTGCCTTCACTTTGTAACACTGTACATGACGTACAAATCAGGAAGAGGAGTAGGCTAGTCAACTTCTCAAGCCTGCTCTACTCTCCAATGAAATGACAGCTTACCTGATTGTAACCTCAAATCCACATTTCCACCAACCCCGATAACTTTCCACTCCCTTGCTTAAAAAGAATTTATCAAGGTCTTTCTTAAAAATACTCAACAACGGCATTTTCAGGAACAGAGTTCCATTGTTGCTATTCAAATTCAAAGAATTATCTCATTTTAATTTATTTTTTAAAAATGACGATTTGATCAAATTTAGAGACAACACAGGATGGAGCTGGAGGAACACAGCAGGCCAGGCAACATCAGAGGAGCAGGAAACTTGACGTTTCGGGTCGGGACCCTTCTTCAGAAATCTGTTCCTCCAGCTCCTTACTGTACTGTCTCTGACTCCAGCATCTGCAGTTCTTGCAATCCTTGATCAAATTTAATTCTTTCAAAATTGCTTTAATCTTTTAAAGTCGAACTCAAGATTTTAGGCTGGGGCTCTGAATTACTTGTCCAGTGATGTTACCCTTATTAGGCCATGGTCCTTATTATATCGCCCCGAGTAAATTTTCCCCCATTCCTCGCTTCAGGGATCGCCTTAGTAACGGTTCGCATCCGGTTGCTAAGGAAGCGTACGCCAATTGGGGGCGGGGCGGTGGCGCGTACGCGTGCGCGGTGGGTGGTGCGTCAGGTGTGGGCGGTCAGCGTTACCCAGCGTGCACCGGGCGGGGTAAGGGAACGGCGCAGGCGCGTTGGGCTGGTGGCTGTAGATCGATAGCAACGTCGCTCAGGTGGGGTAAGGCAGGTTGTCGAGTGTCACCGCCGGCTCAGCTTAGTACAGCTTCCGAGAGATATGGAGTGAAGCGAGACAGAGAATTATATCCTCACAGATAGCCCAACTTTCACTTTGTGACGCTGAGGGAGGGAGGGAAAGCGAGAGAGAGTCTGCCTTATTGGCCGCGATGGGAAGGTTGGTGAAGCGATGAGGGATGTTGGTGTAGTTTTGCAGTAGTAGGTAAAGTAGGTGAGGGCCGACTGGTTGCCCCGGTTACGGGCTATTACTTGGTTTGGGAGGGAGAGGAGGGGTAGTTTTGTATCTGCACTGGGGTTTTAGGGTGGGCTAGGGATTCTCTTGGTTCTAAACTTTGCACAAACTGGTGGGTCTTAAAGGTGAACCTTAGGATTTCTTTTGTGTACGTTCTTTGGGAGGGGGTGGGTAGACGGCGAGTCTGTAAGAAAATGAATTCATGAAGAGCTTCAAGGGGGCTTGCGAGTTTCTCCCAGACTTCAGGTGGGTTTGCAGCTAGTGGGTGAGACGCACCTGGGCCAAGGGCATCATTGATGGGAGGCTGCGTGGGGACCCAACGCCGGCAACAACAGCAGCAGCAGCAACAACATCATCGCTCAGGGAGACGGAGTGGCAATGGGAGAAAAACAGGTAAGGCAGCAGAAAACTGTAAAATTATGATAGCGCCCAGTGTTCGGGGTTAGGCGTGCTCAGCAGGAGGTTAATGGCGTAGGACGTTTTTTTCACTTTTGATCATAATTTTAGTTCCATCTATGGAATATATTTTCCATCGTGTCAGCGTTGTGTTAGTAATAGTTAGTAGAATTGCTATCCAAATTATACTTCACTGAATTAATGAGAAGTCTGTTCACTGGCTGCTTTTGGAAGCTAATTCCTTATTCATATTTCTTCCATTAGTAAATAGATGGACCTTGCTATGTAGTAATGTTAGACTTATTCCTGTGCTGATATTGATACTCAGACATTGTTATCATTTCTTCAGGATAAGAGCTTGATGCTTTAATGTAGCCATTCAGTTTAGCCTAACTTATCTTGGAGATGTATCAGTGAAATTACTTTTTCTAGCTTTTTCTTTTCCCACCCTCATCTCTGACCTCCTGTACTCTGCCCCATGCGAAAGCTTTATTTGTGTCTCCGAAGGTCTGTTTTGCTTCCTGGATGCCAGTTTTATACCCAGGTGGACAGGGAGATTGAACGCTATTTGTAATAGCAGCAGACCCTGTTATATCTCGGGTCGATTCTTTGACACACAGCTTGAGTGACTGCCAGTAAGTCTGGTTATCCTTAAATAGCTAAATTCAATAAAAGCCTTTTTTAGATAAATAAGCATTTTTAGTAATGTTGATAGTAAGGGTTAAAATTTTAATTTGTAGCTGGAATGTGTTTTCTTTTTATGGAATTAATTTTTCATGTCAATCTTATTTGTGTAACAAATTTATTTAACTGTTTTGAAAACTAAGTTTATTGCTTTACAGACCAGAAGAATAATTTGTTTTGCTCAGCTGGGTGGCTGATATTCATGTTAACCTACACTTAAGGTCAGATTTGAGTAGACTGGCATTAGTGAACAGACCTCCGGTATCAATACCTAATTATGCTTCTCCTATCCTGGCAGGAGAACTTTGCCCCGTTTTTCATTGGTCTACAGTTTGGGGTCTGAGATAAGATGATCAGATTTAGTAAAGTGAATGTTAGAAGCTTGTGATTCACGCAAGTAAAGTATTTCATAAGCTGTTTTCGTCATCCTGCAATGGAGGACAAGTCTATAGGGACACACCCCACTTAATCTGAAGCAGCTGCAGGTAAATTAATAGTCAACTAAAATATTTATCCAAAACAGTTCCTGTCAGGAACTGCTATATTATAAGTGAAGTGGCAATATTCTGCTGCAGAAAATTCAACCGGTTTATCTTTGACTAGGGTTCATAAATGTAATTAGTGCCTGAAAAGGGAAATAATTGCAGGGTTCAGGAAAAAGCAGGGGGGGGCGGTTGAGGTAACTAACTCTGGCGAAGAGCTTGCATGGATATAGCAGATAGTGGGTTTCTGTGCATTGTTCTATGATTTCCAACATACATGAGTATAGTCACAGAATAACAACACTGAATGAGGTCTCTGAGCTGATTGATGTATGATAGCAAAAAATCATTCAGTCTTTTTTCTCATAGCCCAGTAATTATTATCCTTAATGTATTTTTCCAATTTTCTTTTGAAGACTAAAGAAGTTGTATGCAGATTTATATCTTCAAATTTAGTACTGGTTGAAATTGAATACCTTTGCAAATTGTTAATCGAGCTTTTTCATTATTATATCTTCTAAGAACTTTATTTGTAAGATTTACTTATTATTATATTATTTCCAGTTTTTGCAACGCTTATTTATCATAAGTTTATACAATAATTAAAATGATTGCAGCCAGGAAGAGGAACATGTTGCTTTCTATATTGCATGACAAAAGAAGCAACCGTATTGGAGATTATTTCTCAATCTAGCGGTCTGGTATAAGATTGTGGTAGGTGATTTGCACCAAAGTGATGAACCAAGAGCTCTCTGTGGTCTAACAGATCAACCCTAGTTTTGCAATTAACTCTGAAAGTTTGCACATTGGGCTACAGTCTAACAGTAAGCACCATGACAGATTGTGTGCAAGCTTAATTTATATGTATATCTCTTGAGGACTGTTGCATTTGTACCTCTTTGTGTCTGACAGGAGACATTTCTTTTGTATAGTGGAATGAAGTATAAAAATATGATTGAGTTTTTCCAGCAATGATCTGGCAGCATTTGTGTAGAGAAAGCCTAATTAACATTTCAGGTCCAGTGACTCTTCATCAGAACCCAGCAGTTTATGATTTCCAGCAACTGGGTTGTTGTTCACTGGGTTCTTTTGTATAGAAGTATGAAGTTTGAAATGTTATGATACACATATATACACACTGGAGGCATTGAACTATGTTCATGTAGGTACTGGGGAGATAATCATGCATGATATGTTAGTGACTGGCTTCATTAATTAAAGATGTGATACTGTAATTGTACAGTCTAGCCTTGAAATAAATGAAAGAAAAGTCTTCTTGTCTCAGGATGTTAAGACTACATGCAAAAAGAGCTTTCAGTCCTTGGTTATTAACTGATTCATTTGTTTTCCTTTTATAAGACTATCATATGACAAATGTGTCTGTGTATCTAGATTTCATCCAATTTTTAGTAAATGCTGTTATGCCTGCATGCTGGCCCAAACAATGTGCCAGTGCAATCTTTTTGAATCAATAATCTCCTGTGCTGTAAATGTCTCTAATTCTGTGATCTCACTGTGCCAAATGCCATTCCTTCAATTCCCTACATTGCTTCTTTTCTTTGCAATAAACATTTAAAACCTGCTTTTGAAATCTGTCCTTTCGTCAGTTTTTTTGTGCAGTGTCGTGAAAAGGTTTTTTATTTGCTGTCTACTCCATGAATGGAAAATCAACAATAAATTAGTCTTTTGGATGGCTGTCTAGGACTGTATGTTCAGAACTAAATTGCTTTTGGTGAAGCTTTTGAAGCATATCTGGTTTGTTTCTAGCTATCTTTGGTATTGGATCAGATTGGAAACAAACCATCACCGTTTACTGGTAACTTATCCGTAGGATGAATGGGCACAGCACCAATTTAGGACTATGTTGTACCTCAAAAAAAAACTTCTCTGTTGTAAATTGATTTTGATTCTATAACTGTTAACCAGATCTGTTAATTCAGTTTTGCAAATGTCGCTACACCATACAGCAGGTCAATCTGGCGCTTAGATTATGTGAAACATGGGCCTATGGTAAATTTATCAAAGTTTTCATGATCTATACTAGTAATAACAATGTTCAGTTATTTTATTTGAAGGTTTTGGTGAAAGAGCTCTTGACTTCCTCAACCTCTACTCAAAACATTTAAGAGTTAACTAAACGGCATTAGATTTTCACCAAGTACCTGCCTTTGAGCAAATGTGATGTCTGACCAACGTTATTTTTGAAAGTATGCAATGTGATGTACTTATTTCAAATATCCATGATGTAAACTCATGCTCGTGATTTGCATGTGGTTTTCAGAATGGATATCAATTTGGAATGAATTCGGATCCCACTGTTGATTAGCTGTATACAAAAACTGGAAGTATTTTTCCACACTGCTTCCACCTGTTAACTATTACCTTTATTTCTTGCTGAGTATGAGCAGCTGAAATTCTCTCGAACTTTGTCCAAGCAGCCATCCTTCATGTACAAGTGTTGACTGTGATGAGGTAGTCCTGATTATAGTGACTATTTGTTCCAAGGCTATGTTTTGAAGCAATTCTTCCAACACAAGGCACCACACCGATGCTTGATTCATTCGTGTTCTAATGGTGTGGGGAAGGGAACACGAGGCTCTGCACTGTTTGAGCTTTAAGTACAGTACTATGCATCAATTGGCAGAGCACATGTTAATTTAAAATATCTAATATTCAATATAGAATATGAAATTCTGATTGGCTTACCCTTTTTTGATTAACGACCATTTTCTAACTTGAGAGGTTTCCATTTGTAGGTTAATTATACACTTGTGATGTAAAATAACAATGTCAGTCATTCTGTTGTCTCTGAATCCTGTCTTTTTGTGCCTCCACTGACGCATGAGTCAGGTTTTAAACATTAGTCAATGGTTTCTAATTCAGTGAGTTGTTCTGAAGCTTTGGTTTGGGATGTTATTAATTCTATCATTGAATGCAAACTTGACGTTTTTATGGAAACGTATTTTTCCTCCACCAGTTGTCAATTGTAGCTTTTTAAGTGTGAATTTTGGTGTAACCGGTTTACTTTGGAATCAGGTTGGTCTTTATACATGCCACATAAGTGAAAGTAAAATATCCTCCAGATCTATGGGGAATTAAGAAGACGGTTTTCAATAGACAAGTTGAAAAACCTAAGTGTTTGAAGTGTAGCTGTTCAGGTAAATATGATGCTAAATTGAGCCTTCACTTTTGATGCTTTTTCTAAAGCTGCTTCTGTCGTAACTACTCATTACACTTGGAGTTAATGACCAATAAGTAAAAGATTCTGGATATAAAACCGGAAGGTTTTGAAACCCTCAGGTTTGTCACCATTTCTGGAAGTTGCAGAAACCCATTTAACTTAGTTTAGTGGGGTGAACACAAACTTGCATCTCATCACTCATTTTGTTGAGGCCAACCACTTTTTAGAATGCAATATTGAAGGTTAAGAATGTAAGTGAATTGATTATTGGTCTATCGTGAGTTAGCTGATTTTTATTCAAAGCGGCATTGGACAGAAATGGGGCAAAGAAGAGACCGGATTTCCATTATTGCTGCCAACAGACCCTGTTGTAAATTGTTGTGTGGGCCTTACTCAAAGCTGAGATATTCTGGACTGTGCTGCCTCCGTAGTTGAACAGCTGAAAAGATTTGCTATCTACTTAAGTGTAAATGTCAGCCTCGTGGGTGGTGAAAAGAAAATCTTTTGCCAAGCTTGTATGGTTAATTTGTGTTGTTCCATTACGCAAAGTTGTCTGTACTTTGGAAAAGTTATCAATTACTCTAAATAGCCCTAAACTACAGCAGTTAACACTCCAGGAATTGTAGAAGTATTGGAAAATGAAACAATTG